TGTCAGCATAATAGCAGTTGTTTTACACTTGACAAGCTTCACTCTTTCGGGGAAATAGGCATGGATTTCTGATGGCAGTGGAATGGGAATTATCTTTTCTTCTCACCACTAGCACTGCCACTAAGAAAGGGGACTAGAGTCATAAAACTGAGGAAGGATCTTTCATTAAACCTCATTTCAGAGGCTGATAATTCACAGGAACAGCCATGATAGCCTGGGTCCAGCCACTTCAGGGTTCATTTTTGTTAACCTATCTTATAAAGGGATAGATGAAAAATTTTTGTTCAGTACAGCCCTTGATTTAAATTAGGTTTGCTCATACAGTGATGATGTGTTACTCATTAAGGCACAGAGATACTCTCTAGGATTCCTAGAGATCTCTGGCAGGTCATTTCAGAGTTGATATATTTGCGCCATTCTTCTACTTAGTTGCATGGACTTTTTTAGCAAGGGAATCCACGTTCTTCTTTCCTTCTCCTTCTTGCATCTTCTGCTGTAAATAGAAAGGAAAACGTTGTGTTCACCACCTGCAAAAAAATCTATGCATCTTTTCCTGGGTAAGATGCCAGTGGCTTCTAAGGAACTTGAGAGTAACAAAAACATATTTAAAAATTATTGAATTCATAGTTTCCTGTAAATGCTCAAATTCCTTTGAGGATATTGTAAGAATTAAGAATTACTGATTAAAACCACAGTGTTAAACTAAAATGTCATATTAGGTAGAAAATTAAATTTTTTAAGTTTTAGGCAACTAAAACGAGAGCAATATTGACTCTGCCAAGAAAAGAGAATCTCAACTTCAGAAGAGGTCTTACTTCTAAAACAGACCCAGGGGAAGAAAAAGTAAGAATTAACTTTCAAAGCTTCTGACAATAGAAAACTACTCACTTTTAAGGAAGACTCTTTGGAAATAAGAAAATGGCTCCTGGTTAACATTTATCATCCTTAAGGTAGAGCATAGTAGAGCAGGCCAAAGATTTATTACTTTATAATTTTAAGGAAGTCTTATTCAATGTATCCAAAGAGTGATTAATTTTTCCAAACAAGTATCTTGCATATCTGCACTTAAAGGTGAATTGCTGTTTTGGAGAATATTATAGACACACCAGTGTCTGAGCTGGAAGATAGATCTTGTGTCTTGGACAAAACCAGCGTAGCAGTGCATTGTTTGTTGATAAATATCAAGTGTATTTAGGGAAGAGCTATTAACCTGACTGAAAATTTAGAGCAGAATCTTCAAGAGAAACTAGACCAATCACTCTCTCAACAAACAACCCAAAAAGTCACTCTCCCTGTCCTCCCCCAAAAGAAGTATTTGCAAGTAAAAGATCTTAGTTATTCTTACAGGATTAATTCCGTCAGGATGCTGAGCATGTAGCTTGACTAGAGAAGTCAAGGTAAAGTAAGAATTTGCTACTGCTGAAGGGAGGATGGTGTTGCTCTCCCTAATTCCAGTTCTGACTGTGCATGCTTACTATTTCCCTTGCCAAAATGCTGATGCAAATCTGACCTTTTGAAGACCTGAAGCTCTAAACTACTAGAAAAAAAGGTAGGAAAGAAAGAAAAAGTAGTTTTCTGCTGGTTGGTTTGATTAGGTAAACTGGCTCTCTGACGAAAGGCATGACTGCCAGAGCAATGGAAAGGAGCAGTTTCATCTTTAGATCACATCATCGCTTTGCTTGCTGACAGCAAACTCTCTTCTCACTTTAGAATTCTGCTTATTTATTATAAGGAAAGTCTTTCATTGTACGCATAGTCTTTAGAAGATAGTTTACTTTAGTATACTTTACTCTTGGATAACTCTATCAACAGTATATGAACCAAAACTGTTTTCCTACTCCCTCCCTGGAACAAAGGTCACAGCGCACACTGGTTACTTTCAGTCTAGTGTACTGTCCAGGATTGTGACCAGTCCTGGTTGCTTCATGAATAGATGCAATAAATTAGGTAATGGGGAATTTTGCTGTTGACAGATATGCCATCCTATTACAACTTACTGAGAGTTCTTGCAATGAATGTTAATATCCATTCACAAATGGGCAAGTAGCTGGACGCTTTTCCATGACAATGGGAACGGTATAGCCAAAAGAGAAAACTCCTTCTGTTTAAGATAGGGTTATATAATAGATAAGGGGAAAGGTATGCTTCAAGTCTCTACTATGTTTATTCTGTTCCACAAGGTGCTTTAAACTTGCATGTCCAATCTCCTGAGAAAGACTGAGCATACCTATTGTCTAAAAAGATAAATTTTGTTTTCGATATACCATGCATAATTGGTACATAATTCAACTAGGAAACTTAAGTAATTCATTCAGTAAACATTTTTTATGTAGAAAGAGAAAGCTCAAACTCATTTGCAGTAACTGCTTGTTTTATGTGTGTAGTGTTCTGCCGAATGGGGTCCTTATTTCTATATACAGTTATCACAGAATCATAGGATGGCTGAGGTTGGACGGGACCTCTGGAGATCATCTAGTCCAGCCTCCCTGCACAAGCAGGGTCACCTAGAGCACGCTGCCCAGGATTGTGTCCAGGTGACTTCTGAACATCTCCAAGGAAGGAGACTCCACAATCTCTGGGCAACCTATTCCAGTGCTCAGTCACCCTCACAGTAAAGAAATTTTTCCTCATGGTAAGATGAACCTTCCTGTGTTTCAGTTTGTGCCTGTTGCCTCTTGTCCTGTCGCCGGGCACTGCTGAGAAGAGTCTGGCCCCATCCTCTAAACACCCTCCCTTTAGATACTTAAACATATTGATAAGATTCCCCCTAAGTCTTCTCTTCTCCAGGCTGAACAGGCCCAGCTCTCTCGGCCTGTCCTCTTATGAGAATTGCTCCCGTCCCTTCATCTTAGTAGCTCTTCACTGGACTTGCTGCAGTAGTGCCATGTCTCTCTTGTACTGGGGAGCCTGAACTGGACACAGTACTCCAGGTGAGGCCTGGGCTAAGTGGAGGGGGAGGATCACTTCCCTTGACCTGCTGGCAACACTCTGCCTAATGCAGCCCAGGAGACCATTGGTGGTCTTGGCCACAAGGGCACATTGTTGACTCATGGTCAACTTGTCCACCAGGACAGCCTGTACTGGTGCAGGGGGTTGTTCCTCCCTAGGTGCAGGACTCTGCACTTGCCTTTGTTAAACTCCATGAGGTTCCTCTTTGGCTGTCTCTCCAGCCTTTGGAGGTCCTTCTGAAAGGCAGCACAGCCCTCTGGTATATCAGCCACTCCTCCCAGTTTTGTATCATCAGCAAACTTGCTGAGGAGGCGCTCTGCCCCATTGTCCAGGTCATTTATGAATAAGCTGAACAATACTGGACCCAGTGTTAACCCCTGGGGGACACTACTAGTTACAGGCCTCTAACTAGGCTCTAATAGTTGGTTATAATACAACTGTACAGAGTTACAGCAGAGTTTTTCGAGCATATTGGATTGGAATCCTGAAACCAACACTTGCCTAGTGGCCTTAGCATTCTTTAAAAAGGCACTGTCCAGCTGAGAACCATCAATTATAAAAATTGGTCGGTGACACCTGGTTTGTCTTCATAATTACTCTTACCCTGGAAAACAGATTTTCGAATGAGATTTCCTCTCTGTATGTATCGGGACTATGCTGTAGGACATTGTCGGAAACCAGATTGAAATCTATTGCTCATATAGCTACCTGGTTTTTTAAGGAGGATCAGTCTAGAGCAGGTAATTCAGTGGCACCAACATACATGTTACAAGAATTTTTGTAATTTATTTACAAATTATAGCTTGAACATTTATATAATACAATATCTTATGTAGGGCTAATTAGTGGGATAGTGCATGAGACTCTTTCATTAAAATTAAGTTTTATGTGTAGGAATTACCTAAACGGATCCCTCAATCTATCTTTATTTAATGATAGTTGCATTTGACACAGAGGCGGTGTCTGCTGTAGGACAGTCTAAGCATGGAATAAGAGCGCATTACTGGCCTGAGTATGTTGTCATCTTGTGATTATGAAAATAGGTGTAAACTTTTAATTATATCATTTTAAAAAATAGAAGGAAAGTTAGCTTTGTGCTAGCTTACACTGACAGCTATGCTAGCCTTCTTTTAGCGGTGAGTTCCTCTTCTCATTCTGGATGACCTTCAGGTTAAGTAAAATGTTGGCTGTACTCACTCAGTTGTCTCATCATTTGTGAAAATACCTTTCTAAAGTGTTGTGCATGCACGGTATGTGATCAGATAAATACAATACGAGTGAGATTTTGTAGGAGGAAGATCAACCAAATACTTTTCCTGCAGAGAAGAGTTATGGACTAGGGCATAGCTAATGAAGCACTAATTTGTATTGATCTAGAGCAATCTAAAGGGAATCTTCTGGATCCATGTGGTCTCCTTTCTGAAAGATATTGCAGGGAGGAGCCAGCCAGGGTTTGAAGCCAGCACAGTAGCTGCAGCAGCAGTCAAAGAATGGGTAAGGGGTGCTGCTGATACCATCAGAGTCCTTCTTGCTCTCTTCACTATGAACATTCTTTCCATTTGATGAGTGATTTGTTCTAATGCATCCTTTTCCTTCCCTTATTTTGTTTCCTATTTAGTTAATTCGTCTTCCTGCATACCAACCTGAATATCCATACTTCAAAAAAATTTAAGTAACAATTTGTGAATAAAAATGTTTACAACAACTGTACTGTCTGTTCTGCTTGTTTGTTCTGATCATTTCCTTTGCCTGTCTTGTTCGTACAGATTCTGAGATATTTGAATGATATTTATTTTTGCCTTAGTAATCTGTCTAACACAGGTTGCTCCTTAGTTGTGATTGTAATAAGCAAAACTAATATTCATAAACACATCTGAATAAAAGAATAAGTATTGTTGTTTTCTTTTGGTCAAAGAATCTCATTAAGTTCTATTTATAGAGTTGTGCTAGACTTGTAGACAGGTCAGTAGAAGCAGCATAAAAATTCAATATTATAGTTGCTTGTGTGATTCCTTCCCATTTCTTAGTGAGCTTTATTTTTCTTTATGCAGAGATCTGAGGGGTGTTATAGTTACTCTGAGTGACAGTGGACATCTTCAGTGTTCCTACCTTGGAACTGATCCTTCGCTGTTCCAGGCTCCCAAAATTGAATCTAGGGAAATAAACTATGAAGAACTTGATGCTGAAATGAAACAGCTTCAGAAGATCATTAAGGAAGCCACGAAATCACAAGGTATACTCCCCCCTTTTCTGTAGTCATACATACTTCTAACAGCATGGTTCTCATTTAGCCCTTTAAAGCACTCTATACTTAAATCATATTTTACATTTCTGTAGGAAATGTAATATTTAATATATTCAATTTAAAAAAATTCACTCTCTCTTGATGGCAAACATGCAAACAAAGTTATAGACTGTATGGCTCTTGGACATACAGTTTATTTTTTTTTTTATAATGCCTGTTGGAACTTGCAAGATATTTATGTCAGATTGCAGGGAATTCTTACTAATGCTAGCATTTGGAGAAAAATCACTGGCAAAGGAAGGGAAGAAAATTTCTGTAATTTCATGCACACAGTCTAATATACTTTTCAGGCTTCAGAAAGAGCACAAGTGTTGCCAAGCTCTATTTCTTATTACAAACAGCTTCTTAAATGTCATATAATTAACAAAGAATGAATTGTATTAAAGCAACTGTTCTTTTACCTCTTTCAGAAGCAGTTGTATTTGAACGTGGCAAGATATATGAAAAGTATTACACAAAATAACTGATCATGTTAAACTCTGGAATTTACATGCATTGCTAATAACTTATATTGCACTTGTTCAAATAATGGCACACTATTTTCACAAAGATCCCTCCAAGATTGTGTTTTCATAACTTGAGTTTTCAAACAGTACATCTGTCTTGCATTGGGAATTGGAAGCATGTGATCTTACAGGAAACTGTGGAAAAAAGGTCTTAGACAAGTAGAAAGTACCAGTTGTAATATTTTCTTGGTGACAGCACATTCTTAAAATATATTTTAACAAAATTAGCTTTTTGTGTGAAGAAGGGAGCTAAAAAGCACACAGTTGAAATCCCTGGAAAGAGAGTGGTTTGTTACCTGCATTCATGAACTTGATTCTCCAAGCCAAAGATTTCTTCTCTGTAATTGCATATAACTTTCTTCATTACTATTGTAATAGATTAGTATCAGAGGTTTTTACTTTAACAAATCCAATAATTGGTTACTTAAACATCCACACATATCTTAAAGTCCATTGCTTTTACCATAATCCTTTTTACAAGTATTTGAACATTTTGGCTATCATAACGTATGGGAAGAAAAGCATGGTGGAGGGAACAAATCAATTTGTGAACAACTTTTGTATAAGTTGCATTTTGTTATGTTGTGCCAAATATATATATATACGGGGAGGGGGGGGGGAGAGAAGGGAGAAGGCGGAGAGGAGGGGAGAGGGGCGGGAAGAGAGGA